CAAACCCTGAGTCACTGACCATGCGGTGCCCATCAAACCTGTCAGTGCTCTGGGGTGCCAGAGAGGGACAGAGCCACAGCCCCACAGAAGCGAGGGGCCTTCGGAGGCCCCGTGACTGCACTGGCACCAGTTTCAGATGGTTCACATCTTTAGCCCTTAGTCCTGCACAAAATTCCTACCACAGATGAAAAGGTTGTCTAATCTAAGCGTAGTGTTCTGCTCTTTCTGTATTTTTGCCATGGGCTGAACATGCCTTTCTGTGTGGTCCTGATGCCACTTGTCTGGAGGTTTCTGTCAGGTTTCTGTTCCATTGTGAAAGATCCCATTTACGGACTGGAATGGGTTAAACCCTGGAACCCCTTCTGGAGCCTATCATGGCTCCCCTCAGAAATTCAGGCTTGTACTTCTTTGTGTTGGCAAGCATTTGCTAGTTTGCCTCTGAAAAACACTGCACAAAATGGGTTTTTTGTGAAATCTGAAGCTCTTCTAAACTAGCAATTCTGAACTGCTGAAGGAAATGCATATAAGCAACACAACTTCAAACCTGCATGTTCTGCTGCTGCGTTTGAAAAGATCTAGACCAAAACTGATTCTCAGGCCAATACCTTTAAAGTTTCATCAAGACACCTCAGTATGGCCTAGGTGGGTGTTTCAGAGAGAGACAGCTTCCTGGATTGCAGTTAAAAACTGCTTTGCACATTCCATAGAGGCTGACTTGTCTATAAAACCTGCCATAAGGATGTGCCCATAAGGATGCACATTCTTCATTCTGTTTTAATTAACATGATGCTATCATGTCTCTTCAAAGACAGGCACTGTTGTCGCTGCGAGTCCCTCTGGGATCAAGCCTCTCCTCAGCGTCACCATTGTCAGCGCATTTGGCTGGCCCACACTTGGGGGACTTATGTTTCACTGTAATTCCTTCCAAAACATGCAGAAAAGGCTCTCACTCTCTCTTTCTCATTAGCTTGATGGAAAGAGCATGTCTTGAGGCAGCTATTAAAAGTCCCAGTCAAATGGAACTACTGAAAGCTGTTCTCCCCCAAGTCAAGGTCAAAATTGCTCGATATGGTAAAGAATTTTCCAAGGCTTATGCCAGTGGGAAGACAAGCACACATCATGGCCTTGTATTTTCAGTACACTTTCAGTCTTTGTTTCCACACTTGCAGCCTCAGAGAGCTTGGGACTGAGGGTGATCACCAGATCATACCAACCTCCATCCTCTTAATTCCCCCAACTCCTCTTCCACCATAGTAGGAAGCATCCACCGTGGGCCACTTCTTGGTAGGCAAGGGCTCCTGTTCTTCTTCCTGTCAGTACATGCAGATGATGTTTACTGTAAAAAGATACCTACACACACATACTAAATGTCTTTTCAGTATATTTACTGAAAATATAAGTTCACAGAGACTAAGTTTGCCCCTGCTGGGTGTGAAAGGGGCACAAACACCAGCAGAGCCTCCAGTGCATTACTGACCCTGGGTGGGAGGTTCTTAGTGTCTGGAATGCCTAAGTGAGGGAAAATGCTGCTCAAGTCCCACGTGAATCTTTAGATGTTGTACAAGGGTAATTCAGTCTTTCTGGTCTCACTGCAGAATGGGAAAAACAACGTTCAACTATCTTGGGATAAAGGCCCTAAATGTGTCTGTCGCTGTGTGCTTAATTCAGGCCACACTGAACTGAGACAGAGCAGAGACTTGGACTTTGGCCACCATGTTCTCAGCAGCACCCAGACAAGGGTGCTGGATGCGCAGAGCGCAGGGACACACAGGAGGGGCTCAGTGTAAGCAGTGTGATGACATTAGCACCATCAGAACATACCTCTTTTGGGGCTGGTGGAGGTGGTGGGGGATCCTTGATGACCTGAAAGAGCCAAACGTAGAAAAGCATAAGGAGTTGCACTGGCAGCGGCCAAAAGGCAAGAGCACATGGTAAGAGTGAACTGTTTCCACCCATGCCCCCCATGTCTGCTGCCAAACTGGCAGCTGGCACTGCCTGGTCCCCAGGGCATTGACCACCAAGGCCTTCTGGAAATTAACACCATCTGACAGAACATGCCATCCCTGGCCTGCAGACACTCTGGGCAGACGTGTCTACCAGTGCTCTTCCTGGCCGGATGAGCCTCAGCCGCTCTCAGTAACAGCCAGTGCCGAGACCCCCCAGAGTTCATTAGCGATCCCAGAGGAAGAGTGTCTGAGGCCTGTGTGAGGGCCTGTGCGGCCGTGGGCCAAGCTGCTGCTGCTGCTGCTGCTGCTGCCACACTGCTGGGTAGCCTCTGGCCAGTGACAAGTGTGAAATGCCTTCTGGCAGCTCAAGCTTCACCTCTGGATGTCCCGGATGCTTCTGCAGCTCTCACGACTGAGTCCTGCAGGCTCCTGACTGTGCAGGGCCTGCAATGGAGTCGTGCTCCCACACTTCTAACACTGCTCCCAGGATCATCTCTTACACCTCTATTTAAACCTCTCCCTACAGCCTCTTCCTGTTCCCTTTGTCACATCCACACCGTAAAGCTCAGGGAGTTCCCAGCATAGACAGTCCTGGTAGGATAGAGGGAGGCAGGGACCGCCTTCAGTGATTCAGCTGAAAACTGAACTCACACCTCTGTTCCTCCACAAGAAAAGCAGGTGTCTAAGCTAAAAATAAGTACTTTGGTGACATCAAGTCATTTTTCTGGGCTTGAATATTACCTAGAAATGACTGAAAATTACCCATGAATATAAAGGAGTCTGTCTCTGCTATGCCTTTGTATGATACAAACACACCTAAAACTGTCCATGGTAACAAACGCCTAAATCTCCTAATACAGACAGGATTAAGTACCTTAATTGAAATATGCCTTATTTTATCCACTCTGTGCTATTAATTGTAGTACTTTAATTTACCACTGCCTATAAATATCACTGCGGAGATGGCCAGCATAATACCTGAAAGGAACAAATTTTTATTGACCAATAATCAAGAGTTTTCTGTCTTGATTGACATTTTAACTCACAGTTTCACTAAAACAGTTACTGGTTACTGCCTTAACAAGCTATGGACTTTTAGCACTACGTACAGGAATTCTGCCCAGTTGGAGAACTAAGTTATGGCACTCTTGGAACCAATTTTCCACAGCACTTAAGGTTTAAGATACGGAATTGTTCATAAGGCAGGCTCAGAGCGCTTTGGGCGGCTTGGAAAGTCAGCTATGGATTATAACCACACTTCTGTTCGCTGTTATGATGTTGCAAAAACATGCCGGAAATTATTTTTCTTTAAATAGTTCTCAATAGTTTTTCTTCGCACCCATTAGGAGTTTCCAGATTACTTAGCAGAAATCAATTGTTTAATTAGTGAAACATTCCTGAGAGCCAGACTGGAATTACTACCCTAACTTTACGTGAAATGGCAACACAGAGGGATCATGGCACAGATCCTGAGAGATACCTGGGTGCTGAGCAGGATTTTCCAAGTCAGTCAAGAGACTGCAAAAGGTAAACCAGCACTTTTGCTCTATGAAGGGCCACCTTATCTCACTTAATTCCTATCCTTATTTCCCTTTTGACTGCCTCTCACCATTATCTCCAGATAATTTATTTCTGCACCAAGCCTGCAAACTGCACAGAGGAAAGGCCTCCTAGGCCGCAGGTTTATGTAAATCCACATGAAATGGCATTGGCACTCTGCTTTCTACAGTTGTGTTATTCGGAAACCTTGCAGTCTGAGCATGGGTGGCTTTGCCCAGCAAACCTCTTCATGGTGTGGGATGGAGTTCCCGTGGGCCCTGTGCCCACTGGGATGTAGGAATCACCATTTCCGGCCCAGAGAATCAAGGGAAACCTGACTTGTTGACCTCTCTGTGGCTTCCAAAGGCAACAGTCAGTGGCAGCTTTTGCTTGACTCCCTGAGCAGAGGACCCTAAACCTGTGCCAGCTCCTGAGCTCCCTGAAGTTTGAGCGGAAACCTGATTTGAAGCCAACCAATCCATTAATTAGCTGTTATTTCTAATGGCTTCAGAAAATGAAAATTGTTTTAAAAGTGACAGTGGTGTGAGAAAATAATCTGCCTTGAATAGCAGCTCCTCACCCTGGTGACAGCACTGGAATGTCAATGCCTGCATCCTTATGCTTCCACAGGCTCACACACTCAAATCACACGTGCACACACAAAGATTATTGTCGGTAGCATGATATTCCAAGTGAGATCAGTAGAAAGCTGTTTATAAAGAAGTCTGAGGCACTTGTGCAGCTCTGCACGGAGCTGCACGCAGAAGTGCACATAGGAAGATCGCAGTATTGTAAACTGACTTTTTCTTAGCTGGATTCAGATTGTTTAAATGCAGAAGCCTCTCAGAACAGTGCTGTCTTATCATCCCCATGGAGAGATGGGCTGCTTCCTCGCTTTGTATTACCATCAGCCCCTCCAGGCAACGCTCCATCACATTTAGTGAGTTGCAAAGAATGAAGGTTTGAGTTTGGAGAAGAGCTGATTTCTTTAAAAAAAAGAAGGAGAAGTTGGTGCTTGAGGCAGCAGCGCCTCTGATCCACTCATTAACACTTCCCCGCTGCTCTGTGATGTGGGCATTAGGAGATGTCAGCACGGAGCCTGCAGCCAGCTTGCTGCAATCATATGTTCCATAGCGAGGGACAAGTGACAGAACTGTCACACTGAAATCCTGTAAAGGGCAGGAGGAATAAGGAAAAGGAAGAGGAGTTCCCCTGCCCCACCCTGGGAGCGTCCATGGGCCTCACAGCACAGAATGCTGCCGAGACCAAGTCCTAGCCAGGATGGAGCTTGGCCCGTGGGCAGGGGCAATGCACCCATCTGCCTACGGACTCTTGTTCTGCCCACAAACAATCCTGTACCTCTCTCTTCTGTCAGATTCTGACTCCCATGCTCCTTTGTTCCAGGAAACCAGGCACTGCCAGGGAAGCAGACCCAGAAGGAGGGAAGAAGAGGTCCTGCCTGGCCCTAATGCTGCACGTCTCCTCGAGGACACTTCCCTGAAGCCCAGGACTACAGAGCCACAAGGGGCAGGAGAGAGGGGCAGGAACAGAGGCACAGCACAAGAACCCAAGGAACAGCCAGCAAAACCAAAGAAAGGGTCAGTATTTGGCAGCAGGTTCAGTGCAATAGCAGGTGGGTTTGGAATTTAGTATCATAGCAGAGGCCTAAAATTGCCTTTTTAAGAAACTAATAGTATCCATGAGAGGTGAGAGGAAGTCCCAGAGGACATGGACATTTGAAGTGCTGTGGTTTTGTATGGCTGGAAAGTCGTACTATAGAACTATGCACTGAACTCGTCTTTTATTGTAAGATTTGGGCGTTTGAAACCAGTAAATGTGAAGCTGGTTTATGAATTGAGATTAGGCAGTTATTTTAAAATATGAAAATAGGAAACTTTCTTCTTACTAATTTCCAATGTTATTTTTCCACAGCAAGGCTCACGATCTAAAGCGGGAGCAAAGTGACTGACAGAAACCTCCCTATATTTCTGATGTTGGGCCTGTGCTGGGGAGAAGAAGACATAAGAGAGGCTTTTTATTACAGAAGAGGTCATTGTTCTTGTCTCAGGAACCCCAGACTGTGAGGGTACAGATGGAGGCTGAGGACTTCCAGCCCTCAGACAGCCTGGGGCCCCACGGATCCACTGGATTATGGGAGCTGCACATGGTCAGGTGAGAAGGCCAGTCAGTTCCTCTCTGCCCCACATTCCACAAGCCTCAGACAAGACTAGGAATACAGACCAGCCCAGAAGCAGTCTCCACTTCCCAACTCCTCTGTGCTGTCGTTGAGCTGGATAAATGGTAAACTTTCCCCAGTTAACCCCCGCGCCAAGGAATGGCAGGAATCAGTGCTGAGCACTACTGCTGCTGGGGTGAAGATAGAGAGTGCACTCGGATAAAGAGATGGATGTGTGCAGGGATTTTGAAGACAGTACGGGATTTCCAACTTGAGAGCCCGTAATGGACTACAAATACCAGTTTAAGTGACAGCACTTTTCAATTGGTCCTTGATTTCAGGGTAACATCTGCACACCATTGGGGCCACCCCATCTCCAGTAACAGCACCATGCTGGTTCTGGTTCCCACATGTGCAGGTGACAGGCAGGCAGGGGCTCTGTCCAAAGTGCAGCCCTGCTGCTGGGGCTAGTCCCCCCATCCCCTTCACAAGCCTGTCACAAGCCCCTCGCCCCAGCTGGCTCAGGTCCTGTGTTGCTCCTCTGTTTCTTGCAGGATCTGTGTTTCCCACCCCAGAGTCCCAGTGCAGTGGCTGTTCCCCACGATCTGTACTTACCACTTTGCAGCACAGGGGCCAGAACCACCAGAGCAGGCCGAGTGCCACCAGCAGCAGCAGCACGAGGACGGCAATGAGCGCTGCCACACCACTGGACTGCAGAGAGAGCAGGGACAGCATCAGCGCGCGCTGCACAACTGCCGCCTGGCTCACCTACCTACCCCAAAGCCCAGGATTAGTTCTGCTCAAGTCAGCGGTGCATTCTACTGTGAAACTGATATAAAACTGATACTCCTGCGATCAGAATCAGGCCAAGCTAGAGGAAAAGGCAGAGTCCACTGACTGCTAAGGAACGAGCCATTAGACACAAGCAGGGGAAGTCTCCTAAACCTGTGGATGAGAGGTGCCCTTCTCCTCCATGAGGACACGTCTGTATGGACTGGGGGTGGAGGAGGAGGGGGGATTTTAAGGCATCTCCGCTAACAGTACACATCCAAGGCTTTTATGCTGATCGCCCACACACCTGTATAGACTGTGGCACACTAACTCCCTGCAGCAGTGCTGTTTGAACCTGGAACTCTGCAGAAGTGCTCCTGCTTCCAGCAACACTTGTAATGGAGAACTGAGCAGCCCAACTCCCACACGCCCCACACCTCCAACCCACTTCCTCTGGCACTTTTATTCCTATATTTGGGGTTTTAGAAAAACACTGACAGAAACGCAACAGTGACCTTAGGAAAACAAGTTATTCAGACTTCAGCTGGCAAAAAAAGGAAAGGAGGAACCCAGGGAAATGCTGAGGCTGGAGTACAGCGTGAGTAGTTCTGTCCCAGTGAGAAGGATTGTACTGGAGGTGGAACAGAGCCATATCCCAGGACCAGGTCAGTGCAGTGAGGCACACGGGTATGATGGGTGCCTCAGTGCCTAATGCTGTGTAGTTTTGTTTGTTTTCATCGCAGCAATGTGTGTTTGCTGGGAGGCTGCAACTTGTAACTCATCTCTCAGCCAGCCATCAGCTGCTCAGCTCCCAGAATTAGTGAGCAGTTCTAGCAGTGACCCATTTCTGAAGCTGCCCATCTGCTACTATGGAAACAGCAGCTCCTGTGTGGAGCTGCCTTTGCTGCAGCACAGGCCAAGAGCAGAAACCACAAATAGGGCTGATGAGAAGCACGGCAGTTCTTCCTGCCCATGCACATCTGTACCTCTCTGCTTCCTGCCAGTGCAGGCTGTGACCACAGAGCAGCACAGTGGGAAGGCTGTGCCCAGCACTTCACTCTGATTTGCTCTGCATCAGGGCTTTGCTGATTACCTCTCCGTGCACTCGTGGCACCTCTTACAGGGGCACAGGCACAGACTCACCGTGTGCTGCCTTCTCTGGAAGGGCTGAGGTAAAGGCATTCTGCAGCTGGGCTGCAGCAGGCTCCTGGGTGACTGCCCTCAGTCACCGTGCTTGGGTGTAAGGCTGGGATGTTGCCCAGTAAACAGTGAACTGTGAATTGGGGAGCGTGTGTTCCTTCACCTCCCAGCTCAGTTTGGCTTTACTTCCTCAAACCGTAGGGCTGCACCGAGGCTCTGACTTCTACTGCACCGGTATTGGGGTTTTAAATGAATGGAAGAAAAATGCCTTTTTTTTCTCTTTTAGGTTTCTGATCTGCAAGCAGTAGCAATCCTGTTGAAGAACTGCAGGCTGACGAGCAGAAGGGACTGTTCGCCATGCACCACGCCTGATGGGAAAGCTGCTCTCAAGTCACACTTCAGATGAGACACATTTAAAGGCACACAGTGCCTGTGCACAGCACGTGTTAAACACTGGGGGCTTGTGTCTCTCTGCACAAATCCCAACTGTCCTGCCCACGTAATGGAGAGCAGAAATGTGACACTAGAGAATTGTACTGAATGCAGAAAGGTACTAAGTTCAAACAGTCACTCTCTGCACAAGTATGTGGTTTCTTGCAGAAGCAGTTTTAACTCTTTTCCATAACCTGTGATCAGATTCAGCAGGATGTTCACCCTGCCTTAATCTCAGGTGTAACTGGAGTACTCCGGCCTGTGCTTGGACTGGCTGTCTCCCCAGATTACCGGAGTTAAGAGCCTACACTCGTTACTCAGGCTCCAGAGTTATGGAGCATCAGTACCCTCCTGTAGGATTGTGACCCTCCCTCCACACCCAGGCTGAAGTCCCACGGTTCTGCCTACTCTGCTCCCCCCCATCCTACTCAGGGAAGTCATCCTGGAATGGGACCCCAGGTGGCTGTGTCACACCTGCCCCTTGGGACATGGTTATATTTACAGTGAGTGTATCTCCAAGGGCAGGGAAGCCTCCCGGTATTTTGAAAGCCACAGCTTTCCACAGGGAAGTGCAGTCAGATATTCCCTGCACTGATAGGTCCCGCAATGGCAAAGCCCAAAGGGAAATGAGATTTGGGAATTTTACACAGGACTGTGGTCGTCTTTTACTTACACACTCCGAAGCGGTGATGGTTAACGAGCTGGACATGAAAGACTGGCCTTCGTTCAAACTCACCAAAACCTCCAGGGTTCTGCAAAGAGAGAGAGAAGAAACATGAGCAACCATATAACAGTCAGGAAGGGCTCACACCTGCTCCAGAGGCTCCTGTATCTACAGCCTCTGCTCCACAGAGAGTGTCCCCAGACGGGAAATGGAGGCCTGTGCTCACTCTTGTTTGGGAGTAAGTTTGGTCTCCTTGACAGAGCTATCTGAGTAGAGATTATCTGTTCTCTTTTCCGTGCAGCATAAAAGACTCGCAAAAGTTTTACATAAAATAAATTGAAGTTCAACTGTAAAATCAGCATTGTTTTCTCTGTTCCATAACCATCTTTTTAGTCACATGCAGGCATTATGGATAAAAATGTCGGATAATTATAAATGGTCAGGACTTGCTATAAATAGCCCCAAACATTGCATACAAATGGTACGTGGTTTACATTTTACAAATTAACCCTACAAGAAAACAACACATGGTGGATGTTAAACAGAAGAAGACTCCTCTCTGGCTTGGATTCCCAGGATTCAGACAGTTTATATTATGCATAGATGCAATTAAATAAAAATATAGATATCCATGAACTAAAATGATTAATCATTTATACCATTCTTACATGTCATGAGTTTTTATTCTGGCACAAACACTTTAGTCAATATGGAGTTCAAAGCCATTTTAACTAATTTGGCTAATTTCTTCTTCATTGGTAGCAAAAATGAAGTGAGTTGCTTCCACTAAACTAATTCTTAAATTATCTATGTCATAAATAATTGATCCAATGGAAAGAATAACTCTAATTTCTTTCTAATTATTACTGGAATAAGTGAATCAGAACAGATAAAAATAAAAAAAAATCAAATCTCTTGCAGCACACTAAATAAAACCTGACCAGAACTTCTGTCGGACATAAATTTGCTTCAGTGTGGTGCTTTTTATTATTTTTAATTCCGGTGTTTTGTTTTGGCACTGTAATGAGGAATGCTGAGGGAAATTCCAGCATGAGAATTCTGCTCAAGTTTTTGGCCATACACTCCCCTGACTGCAGGGCAAGAGGGTTTCCTGCCTTCCCTGGGGGGAGAGCAGGATTCCCCTGCCAAGTTGCTTCACATGCTCCTGCAGCCTCCCCACCAGCACTGTGTGCCCTGGCAGCCTCCTGGGTCCTGCCTGGAATGTCACTAGTGAGGAATGAGGCTGTCTTTGCTACGAAATGGAGCCAAACAAAAACCTGCAACACATCTGGATAAAACACGTAACCCACACTAAAGAAAAGGATCATTTTTGGGTAACTTGGGAATCTTGACAAGTCCTTGAGCTCGCTGGGATGTATGAAAAACTGGGTATAATAGCAAAGATTTCCAAGTGGACTAGAGTCCACGGTCGCGCCTTACTGTTTGGAACACAGAACTGGGATACGTAATTATTAATATTTATAATATGTCATAGCTGGGGTTGCATTTCCCAGCTCCAGTGCCATGTGCCACCCTGTGCCTGCAGCTGTGTGTGCCCCAGCTCCCGCTGTCAGCATGCTGACAGATCCCAGGGAGCAGGCTCACTGAGCAATGAGCTCCAGCACAGGCACACTGCGGGAGAACAGCCCGCTGCCCAACCCACTCCCATCCTGATACACCGCTGCAGGGATGTGCCACTGGAGATGTCACTGGAGTTGATCATACCCGCTCAGATTCTGGAAGCCACAGAGTGAACTCACACAGATAATTACCTCATCTTCAAAAGGATGAGCCTGTCAACACACAAAAGCACTCCTTCCCTGAGACTGTCATGGCTGTAGGGGATACCGAACGTGTTCTTTCATTTCTTCAGCAGCCACCTGTTTGCTGGGCTGTGTGTACTTGCCATTCATACAAACACTGCCCTTTAAACCCGAATCCCAGAACGAAGTGTCCTGTTTCTGCTGCTCATTCACACACAGCCCAGAGACAGACGCAGACAGAAACTTGTCTGGTGTTTACCAGCAAGTGTCCACATGCATGAGGCTTTTAGCTCAGCACTCTGCAGAAACTGGATATTTTGAGAAGAAAACGACATGCGGCAGCAATGCCATTTCCTGGGCCCTTCCGTTCCACTGGTGACTGTCAGTGTTGTGTGAGGGCTGCATCCCTTCAGCAGAGCTCAGAGCAGCCAGGTCACCAGGGAACATTCTTGTCCCTGCAGCCAGGCAGCCCTTGGGCACAGCCCTGGTTCTCCAAGGAAGGGTTAGGCTATACTGGTTTTGTGCCAGCACAGAACCCAGATGAGGGCTGAGCTTCGTAAAGTTCTGGAAAGCTGCCACAGCTTCCCTCAGAGCCCCCCGGATAAAGCCTCAAGAATCGGGCAGTGTTCTGTGGCACCCATGGAGCCCTCCCACAGCACCAGCTCTGCTGCCTGGCACCAAGGACACGTGGAGTCGAGCAGCTCCCCTCCGTGTATCCATCCAGACAAAAAGGGCTGCAGGAGCCAGGCTCCAGGGAAAGGCAGCACAGCCCTTCTCACACCTCCTCAAAACCCCAACAGTGCCCAAAGCCAGCGGCTATTCAGGGCTTGGAGCCAGGATGCTCCTTTCCCATCTTCTGCTCCCTTCAGACACAGCACTTGAGTGAAGTGGATTCAAAGAGCTGGCAAATGAGCACGAGTAATTACCATGCTGTGCAGCACAAGCCCTATTTCTCTGCCTCTACCTCAGCCCCAGTGTGCACTTTTCCAGTGGTCTATGCTTCAAACCCATTTCACTGTACTAGGAAAAACTGGCTTTTGTTTACAGTTCACAGCCCTTGCTCCACGTGGAAGGGATTTTCCTATCCTTTGTCTGTGCAGTGTTACTTCTGGGATAGGAATCAATCCTGGAAAACTTAGTCTGAAAAGCACTTTTTAAAAATGCTCTGACTTCTGACCAAAGGTAACCACAAGACTCTCGCAACTTTAGGCTGCGTCAGTCCTGGCCCATCGCCCGTCCTAATACACAGTTTATCCGAAAATGTAACTTGAGGCGAACCAACAGTTGCAGTTCTTTCCTTCATCCCCCACTGCTGGTTTATTGTGACAGCAGAGGGATGTGGCCCACTGCCATATGTCCCTGCAGCTCTGGGCTAAAGCCTCCCATTCCCTGTGAAATACAGCTGACACTTTCATCCACGGTAACCTATTTGCAAAGTATTCATTTGCTCCTTACTTTCTGGGGAGCCACTAAAAGACTGCCATTTTATGACCCATTAAAAAAATGAAAAAATTAAATACAATTGTGAAAGACATTTGCTGGAAGTAATAAATAATTTACCTCCAATTTTCACGCACTGAAAATTAAACTGGCAACTGCTCAAAAAGTTCCTAAAATTATGGTGACAAAGGTATTTCAGAATCAAGTACCTGCATTAAAATAGCAAAAATGCTGTACATAATAGGAAGGAAAAAAGAGGTCTACGTATTTAATGGAGGCTCTCCCTTCCAAGCCCTGCCTCCATGGATTACTGGATAGCTTAACTGCCTGGCTTCCATTTGACCAACATCACTTTGAAACCCTTGGCACTGCTTGCTGGGGTATAACTAATATTCACCCCCCCCTTCCCTCCAGCCCAAGCAGAGAGCCTAAGGCCAGCTGCATAAGGCAGGGAAAGTTCCCCTGGAGCAGGGCTGCAGCCCTGCCTACCACATTCAGTGCAGTCCCACTGTGCCAAGGGCCAGCTGTGCCTGGGGAGCACTGGGACCAGTTTGCTCCAGTCGATGGGAACAGTGCTGGAGACAAGACATGACCTGAAGTTACGATAAATGGTCAGACATGTTTTGCTCCCACCAGCCAGAGAGGCATAAGAAGGAGTACTGAGTATTCCCTGAGGACAGTAGAACCTGCTCATCATGGAAATCATTATGGCGCTTGGGGATTCTCGTAAAGAATTAGTATAAACTCTTCCCCCTGCCCTTCTTGGTGTAGCTTAGCACTTATACAAATTCAGATTATGGTTCTTTAGGATGTTGTCCTGTTACCCGAGAACACTTTATCTTTCCCAGCCACATGTGCAATATACTGGCCATCTGGGCTTGGCTTTCCATGGGAATAGACACAAGAGCAGAGAGAGCCAAAATGCCATGGCTGGGAAGTGCTAGGGAATGTGAGAGAACTGGAAGCCAGTGAGGAATTAGCTCTGGTCTCACGGAATCACGGGAACCTGCAGTACAAGGGTACGACACGTCATTATTATGTTAAATTAGACTATTAATTCAGCTCGGGATTCTATGGCCACTGCATAATGTGCAGCACTTAGTTCTGCTCACGCGCTCTTCGCTAGCGCTCTGGGAACACTGTGTGCCCTAGGAGGGACGTGAAGGACTGCGCCAGAAATTACTACTGATCTTAACACCACAGCCATATGGCTGAGGGGCCAGTTAGCCTATACAAATCATTGAGGATGTTTCCATCTGTGAATAGTCCCCATTATAACCTAATTGTGTCAAACTAAATGTATTTCTAAAACATTTTCAGAAGTTAATAACAGATATTAAGCCTAATCCAGCCCTATTTTTGATTTCCCCCCACCTGAGTTTATTTCTCTGGCTATTTTGGAGGGGAGAGGTTGTCCCGTGTAAGTACCAGGGATTGGGAACCGTACTGGTTTTTATTTTTGTCAGAACAAAATGCTTATGTAGGGATAAAAAAGACAGTGCTGAAATGCTCAATCTCGGTGAGTTTGCAGAGGAAGGAATTAGTGCAGGCGGAAGCAGCTGTGATCCACGTCAGCTCGCTGCCCAGTGCTGCAGGGGAAGCATAGCTGTTTGCAATGAAGGGTAATGCCAATATCCCATCAGTGGGTGGATTAGTCCTGGACACTTCTGAACTGGGGAGGTATTGCATTCACCTGAGCACAGAGGCTCCGCACTGGTGAAAACAATAGGTGAACAGGTGAAAACAATCTGGCCTGGATCTGGTATCCTACCGATTGGTGAACAGCGGGAAGTCAAAAGGAGGGAGCACAGCTCTTTATCTCTTTTTGCTGGTGGCTGGGAAGGGCTGCAGTTCATGTCAGAGAGCTGCCTGGCTGCTGGGTGACAGTGAAGCTGGAAGAGGGCTGAGGAAGCCTCATCCTGGGGACTGGGACCTCCTCTGCAGCACCAGGAGCCTGCCTGCTCTCCTTCCTGAGGCGCTTCCCAAGGTACAGTTGGGTTCTGAGAGGTGAGGGGATTGTTGTTGTTTTGCTTTTTCATAGTAGTAGTGACCCGTGCTACATGGACCTTAGTTAATATGCTGCCTCTTAGGGAAATCCAATCAAATCCTCATTTTAATTGCTCCCCTTGTCTCTCTACAAGGATTTTTTTCAAGTGATACGTAGTCACCATATAGGCTTTAGACTAAGGAGGACACATAGAAAATTAAAAATTAGTCCTTAGACCCACACTTGAGTAGTGACACCAGCTGCTGAGCTCTTGAGTGGCTCAGCGTGGCTCAGTACTTGGCATAAGCAATGCTCCTTACGTTAATGAGTAATTCAGCTCTGTGGCCAAATGACACTCCTGCTTTCACAGCTACAAAGGCCATGCTAAGGCTAGTTAGTGAACAGCACCACAGAAAGAGCTTGGTGTCACTTAGTCGGAAAGAGGACAGAAATGCTCAATATACCCACAAAATATTAATCCGTTCCTGAGTGACCCTGAAAGCTACAGGAGAGCAAGCTGCACCTTGCAAACACTCTTTCACTGGCACTGCTTGGCTCTTGCAACGGGTTTCCTAAAATGTTACCTTTCTAGAAGGAAGGAAGTGACAAAACAAAAATAGTAGTAAGGCTAGCCATAGCAAACAATAGTAAATATGTCCTCCTCTGGTTTTCGACTACTCATTTCTGTGTTACCAGGGAACTCAACTAAGCTCCACACAACCTTGCTC